ATCCCGTTGCCGGTCCCCGGTGCGGGCGCACGGGTGCGACACCAAGGGTTGCGATCCCGTTACCGATCAGTAAAAAAGACAAAAAGGAAAAAAAAAAAAAGTTGAGCAGTGTAAAAGCTTTTAAAGTCTATAAAGTAATTCTGTACTCCTGAAGGCAGCATTATGAAACATAATGAGAAAAAAAACAAACAGGAATTAGAATATCCTCATACTATTAACCACTCTGTATCTAACCAGCTGCATGACCTTGGGCAAGTAACAAACTCTCTGGGCTGTGATATCCTCCTCTATAAAATAACAATCTCTAAGATTCCTTTTAGTCCTAACATCTGATGAGAGCAATGTAAGATTTTTAAAAGATATTAAATTCTTCTAATGAAATACCATATTAACTCATGCAACACAGAACATTTTAACAAAATAAGCTTTTCAAAAAAAAATACTTTTGGGCCGGCCCATGGCTCACTTGGGAGAGTGTAGTGCTGATAACATCAAGGCCACGGGTTCGGATCCCTATATAGGGATGGCTGGTTAGCTCACTTGGGAGAGCGTGGTGCTGACAACACCAAGTCAAGGGTTAAGATCCCCTTAGCGGTCATCTTTTTAAAAAAAAAAAAAACTAAATATGCATAAGTTATGAAGTAATTGAGTTCTTTTTTTTTTTTTTTTAAAAATGACCGGTAAGGGGATCTTAACCCTTGGCTTGGTGTTGTCAGCACCACTCAGCCAGTGAGCTAACCGGCCATCCCTATACGGGATCCGAACCCATGGCCTTGGTGTTATCAGCACCGCACTCTCCCGAGTGAGCCACGGGCAGGCCCAATAATTGAGTTCTTGAAATAAAACTATAGTGTTTGATCAACATAAAAAAGAAACTTAAAATGCTGGGTTACATGAAAAATTAATCTTTCACCTCCTCTCCCTATTTAAGTCTGAAACCCATAGTTAAAGTTTACTAATTTTCCAACTCACAAATTATTTCTCAATGTAAAAAACTTTTTGAAAGAAATAAAGCATTTCTTCTACACCTGAAGTAGTCATATTCTTAAAATAAGATTTTATTATTTCATCGGTTGGTTAGAACACAGTATTCTAACACCAAGGACACAAGTTCCAATCTCCATACCAGCCAACCACCAAAAGGAAAAAGGTGATGAATATGAAGAGACTACTCCAAACAAGTATAAATTGAAGATTTAATCACCCTCCAAGAATGAACAGGGAATATTAACTTTTTTCCTATAAAAATCTATTTAAACCAGAAGCAACAACAGCCAACACATTACTAGAATGTAATAAGCTCTGTCCTTGACATTTAACACATACTCACTTAATAACACGAATATCTTATGAAGCACATGCAATTTTACCTCCCCGCCCCTTTTTTTGGCAATTGGCCAGTACAGGAATTGAGCCCTGAACCTGGTGTTATCAGCACCATGCTCTAACCATTTAGATAACCAGCCAGCCCTATCACCCCCATTTTAAGGATGGACAAACTGAGGCTTATACCACTTAAGTGACTGACAGAGCCCAGGCTCAAGATGGATCTAACTGACTTAAGCTCCTGCTATTAGCCACTGTCTGCACTTAAAACTTAAACTCTCTGGGCTGGCCCGTGGCTCACTCGGGAGAGCGTGGTGCTGACAACACCAAGTCAAGGGTTAAGATCCCCTTACCGGTCATCTTCAAAAAAAAACAAAAAGCAAAAAAACTTAAACTCTCCGTTCTAAATGATATCACTATTTCCTCTCCACACCAGTTTCACGTTATCTAGAAAAGAAGCCTTCAAAGTCTCTTTCTCTACAAGAGACTCATAACTTAAATAGCACTTCAGCACCTAAGTAAAGCAGAAAACCCCAGAACCTTCACTCTAACTTCCAAAACAAAATCTCCTAAAATGCCAACCCAATCATAAATTTTAAGATGCCAACCTTTTAGACCACATTTCATTCTTTTCTTTCTTCAGCTCCACTGGAAAATCATACTTGGGCAGGAAGAAGATCACTCCCAAAGCTTAAATTCCAAGTTTCGTAGTTTGGCAACTATACTGTGCTTTGGGACTTTGAAATTATAAAGCACAGTTCCCAGAGGAGAACATTTCCTTTATTAGCAATTGGCTTTGAAAATTCCATTCTAGGATGCTAAATATAACAAAATACCTCATGACTTTTATAAGTAAACACATTCTCCAGATTATTTTGATACTAATGATTGTCTATTTACAAGACTATTTTTACTACAGCACTTAAGTAACTGCAACATTTTGAGGAATCTTTCAAATTTGTTCCAGTTCTTTTAAAGAACTGACCTGAAAAATGTTCTCTGGGGATGGCCGGTTAGCTCAGCTGGTTAGATAACACCAAGCGGTGCTGATAACACCAAGGTCCAGTGTCCAATCCCTGTACCAGTCAGTTGCCACCCCCCAAAAAAAAAGAGAGAAAGAAAATTGTTCTCTGGATTCTTCCACTATTAAGTAAGAAAGTTCCCATTTCACAATTCATTTCCCTAAGAAGATATCCTTGTTATTTATAATTTCCTTGGGTTCTGACAAAAAGATATTGAGAAAGCCAAAATCGTGGATTTTTTCTCCCAACATATGAAACACAATAAATCAGGATTTAAAAAAAAATCTACTGTATACATTCATCGAAGGCAAATAATGCATTTCAGTTTTTAAAATGTGCTCTTATCAAAAATCCCATTAATGGGCCGGCCCAGTGGCGCACTGCTACAGTGCGCCGCTTGGGAAGCGTGGCGGCGCTCCCGCCGAGGGTTCGGATCCCACATACAGACCGGTTCCCGCTCACTGGCTGGGCGAGGTGCGGGCGCAGCGCCGAGGGTTGTAATCCCGTTGCCGGTCCGGTACGGGCGCACATACAGACCGGTTCCCGCTCACTGGCTGGGCGAGGTGCGGGCACAGCACCGAGGGTTGCAATCCCGTTGCCGGTCCGGTACGGGCGCGACACTGAGGGTTGCGATGCGTTGCCGGACACGGAAAAAAAAAAAAAATCCCATTAATGACAATTCGGAAATACTCAATGATGAGGGTGAGGGGCTGACTGCCTTGTTCTGGAGTAAAGGACTACATCAGGCTTTCAACATAATGTAGAGGTGCTGTATTTTGGGGGACAGAATGGAACTAGTGGACCTCGCAGTCCCAAGCATCCTGTCACTGTACAAGTGGTTTCAACGCAGTTATAACTAAGACACCTTTAGCTGGACAGCTCCTTATGTCCTCCCTACCTAAAACATGCGACATGAAAAAATCGACTGGCACTTTATCTTTGGGGGATGGATCCGAGGAGTTGGGGGCGGGGGTAGATACTTTATTTTTCACCTCATAACCCCGTGTTGGGCTTTTTGTTTTGTTTTTGTTTTGGTTTTGGTTTTTATCGTGTCTGATTATTATAAATAGCTTTTCAAAAATATAGCCCACCAGCTATCATGCCTTCTTCTCCCTACACTTTCTAGGCCCACAAAGTCCCATTAACGTCATGTACGAGCTCACTCTTAAACAAGGCTTCAGAGCCTCCAAACATCTGAATACTCACCAACTAGTAGTATGCAGGGTAAGTACAGAACTCTTTCGGGCTGAACCAGAATATTCAATGGGAGGGTTAGAGACTTCAAAGTGTCTTGTCTCTGCAAGCGACTCCTAAATCTCCACCCCATCCCCAAATTAACTCTAAAATATGTTCTAAAAATCCATATGAACAGTTCTCCTTGGATGATTCACTGTCAACAATAACAAAAAGTTAACCCCATTATCTTCCACCCAAAACGTTCCTCTTAGTGTAACTGCTCTGTTGACATCCTGTCACCGAATCTTGTGCCTTCTTCCTTCCTGATGTCTCCCTAATGTCCCTGACCTCCAATAATCAAAAAGTACAGCCTACATAAGTTAGTTCTGTGGCCTGGTGAAAGGCAACAGGGATTGGTGGGAACAGATGATCCTCAGTTCCAGCCAACCGTTAATCAGGAGAGAATGTGATGGCAAACCCTCCCATTATCCAAAACAGGCAAGAAATTCAGATTGTTAGGAGAAATCTGATCGTTAAGGCAACATGTGGGCCAAAGAAAATATGTGCAGATCACCTGTTGGCAAACCCTGAGTTAACCAGTTTCTGTCATTCTGGTCCAGTCTCTCTAAGTCACATCACTGCGAAATCACTTTTCCAAATACACTTCTCCTGCTAACTCGAAAAGCACAAATACTACCACAAAGTCCCAATGTCTACTCTGTCATTCAACGTCCACAGCAATACAACCACTCTCCACCTTCCTCAACCCCCCTACACAAACCTTTCACTTCAATCAAAGGAGTCTACCCCCCCTACCCCTCACCCGGCTGTGTCCCCGCCAAGATGGCCTCCTCCTCACCCTCCTCCTCCACCCCATCAATGCCCACACTTTGGCGCAGGAAGCAAGTCCATCCATTGGGAGAACACCCTCCAACACCTGCTGACTGAAGAGCTCGTTCACTGCGTGAGTCCACACCGCTCTGCTCAAAACCAACGGATTTAACTTCCAAGAAGGGATTTAAATCTCCCAGAAGGTAAATCCTATAGCCTTGTCTCGATCCGCCCCCGCAAAAAAAAAAAATAATAATAATAAAAATAATAACATTTTAAAAGGGAGCAAAGTCATGCCGGGAGAAGGCTCTGCGGGGTATCGAATCTTCACACCCAGAAAGGCCCCGGGGAGGTGGGGGAGTAAAGAGGGGACCCCCAACCAGCCCTGTGGGGCAGACGCAACTCCGGGCGCGCTCCTTCCTGCGCCCCAGGGGAACCACCCCAACCCGACCTAGACCCGACCTGCTGACCCCCGACGCGCGTGCCGCGGGGGCCCGGCATCAAGGACCGTCCGCGCTGCCCAGGCCCGGTGCCGCCATCAGCCGCGATAAAGGAGCGGAAGGCGAGACGCCCCCCCTGCACTCGCTCCCGCAGGCCTCAGGGGTTGCGCCGCTGCCCGGACCGCGCCCACCCCGAGGCCGCCGCCCCCTTGTCCTCGGGCGGAGCATCCGGCTCGCGGACTGCCCTCTGCCTCAGCTCCGTCATGCTGGAGACCCCGGCGCGACAACGGCGCGGGCGAGCAGCGTAGCCGCCGGAGCCGCAGCTCAGCTCAGGCGCGCGCAGACTCCCTCTGCCCGCCCCGCCCGAGTAGCGCGCGGCTCCGCAGCGGTTCACAGGCCCCTCAGCCGCCGGGTCTCCAGCCCTGAAGCTCGGCCCCGCCCAACGCCGCCGCCGCTCTTTTACCCGGGCGGAGCGCTGTCTGCCTTGCCAAGCCCCGGCCCGTTCGCCCCTCCTCCCTAGAAAGCGAACGCGCACGCGCACCACCTCCATCACGGCCCGTGAGATCCACCAATGGCGCGAATACACCAGGAAGGGGGGCCTCAAGGGCGGGACGGAACTGAGTGGAGAGGCGCGCATTGGGCAGCAGCGGCAGGGGGCGGGAAAAGGCGTGCGTTTCAGAGCGAGATTAGCCAATGGGAGCCCCCGTCTGACCACGGACCGCCGGCTCTGGCGCCTTGGGTTCCTCAGGTCACCGGTTATTGAGGGCGAGAGGCGCTGCTGGAGGTTCCACCCTGGCGAGTACTTGTTGCTCTCGGCTTCGAGTCCTGTGCAGCTGGGGCTCTTCCCTCACCCCACAAAAATAAACGTTTTTTAGGCCCCGAGTAGAGAGGCCAGGTGAGCTGACCTGATTAAGAGGAGGGAATTATGTGATAAGGCAGTGAAACCAGACCTCAGCCTACGTCTGTAGTACTTACCGAGCGATAGTTGTGTGCTAGGCATTGAGTTGAGCAATCGCTTTAGTTGCTTTATCTCATTTAATCTGCACATCTCTTGGAAGTGGATATGATTTTCATTTTACAGATAGATCTTCCACGGCGTTTCAAATTTCTTCTGGAATATTGAAAGGCCTTGGGGGGGACAAGAATGCTGCCTACTTTGCTGCGGACCCCCTATGTACCTGACACCTCCTAAGTACTTGTTGAATGGATTTAAATCTTCTAGGTCTGGCGGGTTAGCTCAGTTGGTTAGAACGTAGTGTTATAACACCAAGGTCAGGGGCAGATCCTCTTATCCACTTACCTCGACCAAAAAAACTATTAAAGGAAAATGATTTAGCCAAGGCCTCGTGGCTAGGACGTGCCCAGTAAGAAATATGAAAATCTTTTTTTTTTTTTTTTAAATTTTTTGGCGGCTGGCTGGTACTAGGGAACCGAACCCTTAGACCTTGGTGTTATAAGGCCGCTCTGTAATCAACTTTGCTAACTGGCCAGTCCGACCTAGTAAGAATTGGAACACAGATGTTTACCAAGCCCACACTCTAACAACTGTACTATATTGGTTGCCTGAATTCATTAGCCTAATGTTGCTCTAGCGTTGACGTCAGTGCTTCCTATTCGCTGGTGCCCTGTAAGTGATGTAAAACAAGAATAACATGGGATCCCCACCCTTAAATATATTGTAATCTAACAGTGAAAGACACTTGGCACACGGTGAAGTTGCAGCTTTCTATTAGCAATTTTGACCTGAGATGTAGGTTTTGGGGAAAGTAGTGAGAATTCTGTAGGGCATTTATAGTCTCGATTTCTATGTGTATATTTTCAAGTTTCTGTAACAGTGCTTGGAAGTGGCGTTAAATAGATTTGGATGGTTAGCTTAGCTGGTTAGAGTTCAGTGTTACAACACCAAGATCATAGGGTTCAGATCCCCACACCAGCCAGTCATCAAAAAAAATAAATAAATAAAACAACCAAAATAGGTTTAGAGGAGTGCTGAACTCAGGTTGTGCTTTTTTCCTATTTAACAACATTGCACAAATACTTGGGTGGGTTTTGTTTGTTTTTTGAGAAATAGATACCACTCTCTCCAGGCCGTAATTTATTTAGAGAAAGCTTTGCTTTTTGCATTCTATTTTGTCTTTTGTTATTTTATTTGTAAAAGTAAATAACATGCTGATGGTAATTTTTAAATCCTTTTAACCAGTTGAGGGCTGTGTGACCACTATTTGGACCAATGTCAGCAGTCATTTCTTGATCTAAAGACATTCCATATGTCAGTTTCATCTCTGACAAACCAGAGGTGTTACTTTTTTAAACCAATGGTGCAGATGGCTTTAAGCACAAAAATTCCTTTATTGATCACACATGCTGTAAGAGTACTTCTCAGTCCTAATTCCTCACTAGAATTACCTGGGCAGCTTCTAAAAATACTAAGGGAAGGGACACTCCAGACCAATTAAATAAGAATCCTGGAGGTGAGGCCTAGAGGCCAGGCTTTTTTCTTTCTTTCTTTCTTTTTTTAAAGCTCCCCAGGTGAGTCTCATGTGCAGCCAGAACTGAAAATCACTCTCAAACATATTACCTTCTGAAGAAATTTTCCAGAA